ACGAGCGAGGGAGAACGAAGAGGATATTCGAGGACAAGCGCAGGAATCTCTGCGTCGTAGAATGCTGGAGCTGGAGTTGGTACCCGAAAGGTCCCTCGGCTGCGAGCAGTGGGAATTTATTTTAGGCAAGTCTCGCGTGCACGATGACGTGCTGCTGCATACATCTCTTACGAGTAATATTACCCGCTTCTCCATCCTTTCGCTCATTTCGCTTTATCTTTCCTTTTCTTAATTTTGTGCGGGGGTGGGTTAGGGTGGGTGGGAGGCGGGATGACTGAATGACGCAGTCTCTGCCTCTCACGGGGTTAAATTTTACGAGTTTTTGGCAAGAATTAGTGGTGTACGTGTAAGAATAATCGTAAAACGGAGAGCTGAGAATTTGATCTCGTTTGAGGGTGTGTGGCGGTGGGAGGTAAGGAGGAAACGTTCGGTGAGAGGGAGAGAAAAAAGATAGAGAGAAAAGTTTATTTTGACAAACCGCATGTAAACAAAGGCTGACGTCCGGTAAATATACAACAGCACTCGTTATGTAATTTTTCGCGCGAGCTAGTTTCATCGGAGATTTTGAGGAAACGCAGTTTAGACAGACATAAAGACAATGAGCAATTGTCGTTTGATGTATGATTTATTTAATGTTAATTGAAGTTAGACTGCTTATACGAGATCATTTAATGAATGCTTAACGATTGTGACGTTTTATTGAATAAATAGTTGTAAAAATATTAAAATGAATAAGGTTTTATATTTTTATTGACATATTTATTTGTATTAATTTTATAAATAAAGGAGTAATTTTAAATGTCTGCTGACACAATATTAAAGTTTAAATTATATCTTGGCATAGCAGATCTTTAGTATCGGCTTGGTAATGTAATTTTCAATGATTTCTCCAAAAAGTAATGATACATTAACAATTCTAATGTTTGATTGTATTTTCAATATATTTACTTAACCGTTCCTCTTCATTCGTATATACAATAATACTGGGAAGATAATGTAAAATAATTCATTACGATTATCAAATACTATTAATTTTTCTAAAACTAATGTGCAATAAAGAGATTCATTGTATTACAGTGGTCCAGTGATTAAATTTAATATTGAATTGTTAAGATACAGATTAGACTTAAGATTGAAAAAATATTTTTAAAGTATATAAATTCCAGTCATTGGAATAACATTTGTTTTTTTAAATTCAGTCAAGCAGTACAAGTTTACCTAGATATTAATTTACCTCATGTTGGATTAAGTCTGATATTTAATCCGATTATGCAAAGTCTTATGATTATTGAAATATATAATATAAAACTAGCAAAGTTAAATATCGTGGCTCATCTCTCAATTTTCCACATGTTTTTGTCATCCTTATATTAAAATTGAAAATATCTTTATCAAATAAATTAAATAAATTAAAGTATCAAAACTCAGTCCAGTGTGGGAACTAATTGAAACGGATGTTTTTATTGGAATGGAATTTTAACTACAATACATCATCCATTAGAATAAATTAGGTTATTATTTTTTCAACTTTCTTTTCTTGTAATGCAAATAGGAATTGTAATAAAATGAATTTATAAATAAAATCAGCGTATTTTATTACTATTATATTATATATTATGACGATTTATCCTGATTAATTTTAATTCTACATCTATTGTTGTAATAATTAATGAGCATTAGTTGTAGAAAGCCATATTGTTATACATAGTTTTAAATTATAAATAAAAAAGAACAATAATACTCAATCATCCCATTGCTTTTGCAGGTATGCATTTTTCTCAGTCTGTATCAATAATACAGTCACAAGTGGGCATTATAAGGGGAGTACAAGTTCTTTATAGTGATACGGTAGGTGATAAATATGCATTATTAAATTATATTTAGTGATTTATATTAATAAAGCTATTCTAAGCTAATCGAAATCTACTAACTCAATATATATATATATATATATATAAAGATTTGCTTATAAAAATAATTCTTTATGTATCTATCTATATCTATATATATACGTACGTACATATATACATATAGATGTAAACTTATTTGAATTTATATTTTTAATAATTTGTAACACTGTGTTAAGCATTTATATTTTCTTTAGCAAATGAATAAATTTATATAAGTTTTGAGCTTATGAAGATGTTCATCATAATTACATAAAAAAATATTTATAATATAATATAAACATGATATTATATTTTTATATTTAAGTGTATATTTTATATTTTAAAGAAATGCTTATGAATTTATAAGGTTTTTCACATCATTATTACACTAGAATATGTAAGAACTCAAAGACTTTAATGATTTATAATTTTTTTCATTTCAATATAACATCTATCTAATATTTTTACAATTCCATTGGTTGCTTCTAATTCTTTTATATCAATTCTTCAATTCTTACAGAATCCATTAGAAGTAGATCTAGTAATTAATTTACCTCACGATGGAGTAAGGCTCATATTTGATCCAGTTGTGCAGAGGCTTAAGATTATTGAAATATATAACATGAAACTAGTAAAACTTAAATATTGCGGTTTGCCATTCAATTCTCCAGAAGTTTTTCCCTCCATTGAACAGATCGAGCACTCTTTTGGAGCTACTCATCCAGGTGTATATGATAGCGATAAGCAGGTAAGTTCTGCATTCTATTCACTGATATTTAATTTTAAATATTTTCTTTTAATATTAATAGTTCATGAATAAAATACTTACTTTTTATGAACGATTGTTGAATTTATTGAAATTTACTGTAATTATTTTATATTTATTGAATGTTATAGTTATATTTCTTCAAAATGTCAGTTATTCAAAGAAAATTTCTTCTATTTTGATACTCGATTGATTTATTATAATGATGTATTAATTATTAAAAGACAAACGTATAATATTTAACATTTATTTTTATATTTTATGTTTAGCATGTGCGAATGAAATAAAATATCTTTTCAATTGCTCTAGTTATATAGAGGCTTAGAGATAGTAGAATAAATTGTAAGCATTCAAGTGCTGTTTAATTTTAAACTAAATTGATATCTGATCTTTGATTTATTTAATAACATATGTATTAATTGAAATGGAAATTAGATTTTGTAGGTTTCATTTGATTTATGTTTAATCAAGTATAAGTTTTACTGGTTTAATTATATTGTTGTTGTTTTTTTTTTTTTGCACGATAGTAGTATACAGATATTTAAAGATTTAGCGATTGAATACAAATATATTATAAGATATTGATATATATCTCTTTCATAAATATACAATTCTTAATTATTATAACATCTAATCTATTAAATCAATTTTTACTTTAGGTTTTCGTGTTAAATTTTAGAGGTTTATCATTTTATTTTCCAATTGACTCAAAGTTTCAACCGGGTTATGCACATGGCTTGGGTTCATTGCAATTTCCAAACGGAACTTCTCCACTTGTAGCAAAAACAGCCATTTACATGGGTAATATGGCAGCTGGAGGCTCAAACAGCGACGAACATTGTTTAAAGACTCCACCGCCGTCATTACCATTGGTAATTACAATAGTTCTTGTATAATTTTAATTAAAAAAACAAATTAATACTAATCAATTTTAATAATAGGTTTGCTATCATAATAATCTTTATTTGGAGAAGGCTGAGGTTGTTCGGGATAAAACTTGGACTAAAGGTATTAAAATGCATCTTTTTACCGAAGGTAGTTCAGCAAGTAGAGTACTTCTCGAGCCCAGAAAATATAATCTTACTAAAGAGGTTGGTAAAAGAGAATTAGATTTCATCGATTATTAAATAAAGATATATAAATAAGTTATAGTGGACTATTATATGGTATATTAATGGAAGGTATTAATATCTTTATTTTAGTATAACATTAAAAGTAGTTCAAAAGCTTCAGAAAACGTGTAAATATATTATTGAATGTTAAATCTAAAAGGCTATTTATATTGTACGAAGATAACCTGTAAAAATATTAATTTTACTTTATTAATTCTTTATCAATGTTTCGATTATGTTTAAATTAGTAATTTTAATTTTGATGACTATCATGATCATATTTAGCTATTAATTATGAATAAGCAAGGAAATCAAAATATAATTAAGATTATTGAATAAAAGATAGTTTTCTTACAATATATTGTGCATATACTTTTATCAATGAAAATTTATTCATAACTGCCCACTTTTTTACTTTTTTATTTTGGTTACAATAAAAGTGAAAGGCACAAAGAATCCGAATTGTGTAACTATAAAATATTACCTATAATTAATTATGTAGTAAAGTTTCTAAATAAAATATGATTTTATGTAAATTATACAAACGTTTTGGTAAATTTATTGTTTTATAATAACTAGTTATGAATAATAAATTTAACAATAAAATATAATAGAAAAAAACAATAATATAAAAGAAGTAAAAATTAACAGAATCTAATTAATGTTTACATTTAGATTTGTTTACTTATTAATAATTGCTTTTGTGTAGGTATGGTTTGGTGATACATGTGAAGATGTTCTGAGTGCTCTAGGCGCACCATCTCGTGTTTTTTTTAAGGCAGAGGATAAAATGAGAATTCACAGTCCTCACGCTCATAAAAGAGATAAAATTAGGCGATCTGATTACTTTTACAATTACTTCACCTTGGGTTTGGTATGTATGAATTTTATGGCAAATCGTATCTTGTTGTGTAATATTTAGAATTATGTTTGCTAAGTTTCTCTTTATTATGATTAAAAGTCATTACATTTATAATACCTATTTTTACAAAAGTTTTTTATATTAATTTTATTGTAATTTAATTTGTATTTATAATAAGAAAAAAACACAGAAATTAAGGTATTAGTAATATTAATGTCGAATATAGGTTAAATTTGTATTTGCATTATGTAAATATTTTGATATTTTTTATGTAAATATTATGTTATTTTGATTGAATTGAATATCATAGTAATCCAAAATTTATTTCAAAAAATAATTTCATACACAATCATATATAATATTTTAACTAA